TGTATATTTTATATTTCTGTGCAAAAGCATTAAGAACATATCAACATCTAAAGGCAATTAGGTGAAAAGTGGAAAAACAAATCCGACAGAATCATTAGAACGACGGCGATTTAGCTGGAAGAACCAGATCTAGTATTTTGAAACACCTCATATTAAACGCAAACAGATAAACACCGGTGCTGGAAAATGACTGTGTAAACACATGGAATCAAATCATACTGAGCACACATGAACACAATTTTTGTTTTTAATAATCAAAAAGTTTGAATCTTGTAGAAATCGGTCGGGCTACATTAAATCTGAAGATGGACAGTTTCAGAGGACCAGCTGAGGTTTCTATATCCACATGTGGTGTAAAATTGTGTGGAATTAACACATGTCCAAACATAACTCAGTTTAAAGTCAAATATAATATAAAGGACGGGGATTTGCAGGGATAGTAAGCTATAGTTACCTAACGTCTGTACTTTGCAAATTGTAAACACTGGATGTACAGACCTTTTATTGATCTTTTTATAGATTTATTGTTTGTTATTTTTCCAAACTACATTTTATTCACTCTGTTACTTTGCTGTTGAATCTTTGCTACTTTGTGGCTGCTGCATTGTTACAGAGCAGCTGTTTATAGAAGCAGGAGTTCGGTGCACATTAAAATCATCACGCTTCTTTTCTAGTAGAAATACTTCCCCGAGTTGGTAGCTGTCTACACCACATCAGATGTTCTGTGAGCCCACAAAAACACATTTGCTGTAGTTTATCAGCCACAACAACAACAAAACATCTAATTTTAGAGCTTGACTCATACCTGCACGCTGACCATGCACAACCCATACCTTAAGCTTATCACAGCTGATTTTAACAAAGACGAAGTCATTTTTAACTGTAGCAGAATCACGAACATTAAGACCACTGAGCATTCACGTGCACGCCGCTGTGTGGTCAGGATGACCTACATCCTGTAGACGACCTGTAGTAAATCTGTGTAACTGTGACTAAGTGCACGAGTGTTGGCAGGAGGGAGGGGCCAGAGAGTTGTCACTGGATCCTCTGGTGGTGTATTGACATTTCCATATTGAGGGCAGCTGCTTTGTCAGATTTCTGTGAGGGGGATTTTATGAGTTTGTGCCTTTTAGAGGAGCTGAAACAGCTTTAACTACGTGTGTGATCTTGTGATGTGAACGCTCCACTGCTGCTTTTAAGTTAAATTAGAAAACATTTAAAAGGTTCAACATAACAGAGTCTGATGGCCCGGGGCCAATAGAAACTTGTTAGATCTGTCTGGGCCAGTGATGGGGATTCCCCTGAAGGATGTGTCTGACAGGCCCTCACTAATAAATAGTTTTTTCCCCATTGTTTTTACCTTAAAATAACAGAAAGGTGCTTCATCAAAACCACATACAGGTCAGTTAAATATAATGAGAAGAATGTTTTTAGCTGGCTGCACCCACCAGCAGTTTGTCTTACACGGGAAGAGCGTCTTAAAAAGAAGCTCAAACGAAAGCAGTCTGTATGCAGATCAGCTGCTCGACGTTTCAGTTTGACAGTTTGTGTCGTAGACAGAACTTTGCTGCAGGCTTTAACGTCTATCCAGCTGAGAAACATTTGTTTTCTCTTTTTAACTCTCTGTGTTACGCTAAGCCACTCTGAACTTTCTCTCATCCCATGGGTATTTTTATACATTTTTCTAGTATCATTTCATGAGGGGCCATTTTTAAATTACATTATCTAAAAAACTATAAATTTCTAGTAAAAAAAAATCAACACAAAGTCAGTTTAAATTTCATGGATATATCCAGAGTTTAGGGAACATGAGCCATTGTTTTGGATTCGCAAAGTACAACAGGTGCTGGAGAGACACCGAGACAACCCCCAATTACTGTAGGGAATGGTTCAGCTGGTGACCACAGACCATCACTCTCTCATCAGCTCTGTCCTCTTCACTTCCTGATAGCATGAAACGGTACCTCCGATCCATTCAGGTTACACAGGTAGTCTGAATGGATCGGAGGTCCCCTGGTATGGCACATCCACACATGCCATCACAACCAGGCTTGCAGAGTCTCTCAGCACAGGAGAGGCCAAGAGACGGGCAGTAACACGAGGAGAGTTGGACAATAGCTTAGCAGGGCTTCAGCCCAGCAGAGGGATGAGAAGACGGAGGAAGAGCATTCCCAGAGGCCTGCGAAACAACCTCCAGCTTGCTCATGTGCATGTTTATGGTCAAACTGTCACAAACAGATTGCATGGAGGTGGAATGAGGGCCTTTAGTGAGCCGTGTGGTCACAGCCCGGAAACATTTTTTGTTTACATTTGGGTCAATTGTGTCAACATTTCGATGTTCAGGCAGGAAATTGAGACTTTGGCCATTTGTTGAATTGAGGTGAGACGTTTAGCTGCAGCACAGCGTTTCCTAGACTCCATTCTCAGAGTTGCAGTGCTTTTTTTGACAGAAGGCTCGGCTGTGAGTTACGGGGAAACTACGTGACCAGAGATCTCTTATTAGCTTGCTCTGTTTTCCAACTAGTGAGCTGGCATGTTCTGGGCTATAAAAGAGGCTGGGTAAGAGCAAAAACAGAGAGTTCTGACTTTGCTCTTACATCAGGATGCAAAACTATGAGTGTCTGTCAAATTCAGGATCATCCTTTGAGCTGTTGGAAGCTCCTTGTCATTTACCCTGGTTTTCTTTTCTTAATCCTTTTAGTTAAACAAAGTTTAATGTGGACCAAATCACATTGAGAAAGGTACGACATGCATTTAAACATGTTAACAAACACGGCCTTTAGTGAAACTGAATTCAGCACCCCTGCCTTAGTAATGATAAAATATCTTAAATGTAAGATGAGAACATCAGCGTTTGTGTCTTTGTACATCTTGTTATGACTGATAACACTACATTTGAGCCGTGTGTGTCCTTCAGCTGAAGCCAATCGTTAAAAAAGGATTTACTTTTGACAACAACAGTTTGAGGTAGTGATGAAATGTACGGTCTGTGAAGCAATATCTCAGAAAAGAACAGCTTGTATTGTGGCATCAGATACACCACACACAGAATCCTGAACACGAGATAAGCAGATATATTTAGAGACAAAGATACTAAAAACATGAACAAAACTGTCTAAATATAAACGAAGGTTCAGCCAAAGCACAAAGCTACAGATACCTTAGATCAAAGTAAAGTTTACTTCTGGGTTTTTTGGAGACTTACCTTCTTTACTGGAATAAAATGACGACTTCCTCTTAAAACTGACTTTTTGGCAGCTGCAGCCTTGTTTTTCGTTCCGTCTTAGTAAACCAGTATTAACCCTCTGAGTACATGCCTGTGGATACATGTGTATGCCTGTTTTTGTTGAGAGGAAGTACAAGTGGGTGTGCGTTTGACCCTGTAACTGCGGGGAAAGGTCACGCTGAGGAAAAGCCAGATCTATTCTGCCATCTGCTGGTAGGAGTCACACAGGAAATGATTTGTATTTGTGAAAGTGCACGAGAAGTGCAATTATGCCCATCTCGCAAACAAAAACCACTTTCAAAAATTCATCAACTCCATAAGTTCAGTTTTAAATTGGACCGAGCACCACCTCTGGTAACATTTTTCAGATAATTGTGTCAAGAAACAAAGTGAACCAACCACAACAAAAACGTATTTCAAACTATCTTCATCTTATACCAAACTTTTTTTTGTCCACATTACAGGTTAATATCAGGCTCAAACGTTGCCTGTGCACAGACAGCAGACTGACATCCTGAAGTCAGTCCACTTGTCATCCTGGATCAAGTCAGCTGCATAGTTTCGCTGTGGTCTTGTCTCCCAGTCGTTTGCTGAAGTCGAGCATTTGTTGGTGAAGGAGCGTGCTAAAGTTTCCTAACTGCTGTTTCCGATTCTTCAGATGTTCAAGCAGAGAACTGATCGACATGAACAGGATGCCTTCACTGCTCTCGTGGTCCTGGGTTAACATTAAATCCTCCGCCCAGGCTTGCTGTAAGCTTTCCCATAATGCCTCTGTGTCTTGCCTGAACTTCTGAGCCTCCTGCCAGTATTTGTGCGCCTCCTGTTTGGCTGTTTCGATGTCCTCCGTCATCTGACTGATATGGAACTGCAGCCTGCTGTTCTCCACGGTGACTTGCTCCAGTTTCACACCGCAGTCGTAGATGCCCACCTCCACGGCTCTCAGCTCAGATGCCTGTCTGTGGAGCGTGTTGATGTGGCATGTTTGCAGCCTCTCCAGCTCAGCCTTCATTTCCTCTTTGGGCTGAAGGAGTTCACTGGTTTTCTCCTTCAGTGCCTGAATTGAAAGCTCCAGCTCACTCCTCCTCTTCCTCAGCTCATTGAGAAGCTCTTCCATCCTGTGGTGCCTGTTCTGCTCATCGCTCCACTCGGCCTCCACCTTCTTCAGAATCTTTTCCTTCTCCTCCACCTCCCTCTGCTTCTCCTTAACACTCTGAGCAACCTTGTCGACGTCAGTGGTGAGCTTCTTTAACTCCTGGCGCTGCCGGCTCTCGATCCTTTCGTACTCCTCCTTGGACCGGGTCACATGCCTCATCAGGAGGCTGGCATCAGTGGTCTTGGGCTCCTGCCTCAGGAGCGCTTCTTTTTTTTGAAGCAGCTCCTCATATCTTCTCTGGGTACTACTGATGTCAGATGTCATTTTCTCAATATGCTCCTCCTGTTTCCTCTTTGCCTCCTTCAGGAGCTGCAGGAGTCGCTTTTTCTCCTCCTGAAGCCAGCCCACATTCTTTTCTCCTGCATCCATGTTGCTGCGTAGCTCTTCCTGATTCCTCTCAACGAGACGCTTGTCAATTACATCAGTTTCCTTGAGCTCTTTGATCTGCTTCTCCATCTCTTTGATCTCCCTGCCATACTTGATGATGGAGGCAATACGCTCCTCCAGCTTCAGCCTGGACCACTCCAGCTGCTGGGAGACCTGCTGATAATCAGCCCTGACCAAGTTCTCTTTAGTGTGCCGATGCTTGAACACCTCACAGACCTGAGTCAGCGCTGCCTCGAAATGCTGTTTTGATGCGCTGCCCTCCTTTATTTTACTGTCCATTGTGACGATTTCCTCTTGCAAGTTCTGCACAGTGAGGCTGAAGGCTTCCTCCAACTCATGCAGTTCCTCCTTCAGCAGATCCCTCTGTTGCCTCAGCTCCCGTTGCTTTTGGACTTCCCCTTCCAGCTGCTCCTCATGATGGTGCCGTGACACATTCAGTCTGTGTATGTTGTTCTTGACCTTACCCAACTCATCCATCAGCTCATCCAGCCGTCCCTGGGCTTTGTCTTTCTTGTTGGTAATGCTATCCAGCTCTCTTCTGCTACTCCTGTTCAGGTGGTTTTGCTGCTCTGTCTGCTCCTCAGCGTTTCTCACCTCTTTCAAGAGGTCATTTCTTTTCACGGAGGAGGCTTGTCTCTCCAGCTTCATGTTCTGCTCCAGGGTTAACCTGTCCTGCTCGACGCCAGCAATGCAGGACTTCAGCTCCTCTATATTCTCCCACGTCATGTTCAGCTGCATCTGTGAGCTGTACTTTAGGGGAAGTAGATCATTCAGAGTAGCCATGGTGGTATCATGGTTAGCCTTCGCCTGATCCCGCTCCAGGTACAGGGACTTGTTTTGGCTGAGAAGGGATTCCTGCATTTTCGTAGCTTCTTCTTGGAGCTGAGAG